TTACCTGCCCCAGCTGCCAGTATCCCTGTCCTGTAAACGTTTTCCTGGCCCTCTGGTCAGGTCCCCTAGTCAGGAAAGGAACACGCTATTCCCACATTCTACTACCATGTCTTGATTTTGGGAAAACCCAGCAACATGAAACTTGCTTGGCTCTGAAGGGTGTGGCGATGGGGTTAGGCCTGTGTCATCCCATGCATGCCGGGTGCCCTTTTGAATAAATACTGCTTGGAATCTCGTAGCCGCTCCTGGAAAGGAAACCTTCCCATTTCAGCTCTGCCTTCCCCAAGCTGCAAGGAAGGAGGTCAGCCACGCCTATCTGCTCAGGAATGCCTTTGTAGAGTGCATGGTTGGGTCAGAAGTCATGGATGGCTGTACAAAAGACTATGGTGAGGGCCTTCTCTGAGCCATTGGCTCTACCTTAGGCACAGGTTCTCCTCCTTGCTGTCTGCCATCCCTGCCAGTACAACCAGCGGTAGGCTCAGAGTTTGTCCTCTGAAGACCTTCCCTGACAGCTGAGCCTTCCCTCTCTCTTTCCTTCTCTTCCTCTTTCCCCTCCCTCCCTTCCCCCTCCCTCCCTCTCTCCCTCCCTCTCTCCCTTCCCTCCTTTCTCTTTCTGTCTCTCTATCTCTCTCTGTCTCTCTGTCTCTCTCTATCTCTGTCTCTGTCTCTCTCTCTCTCCTTGATGTTCATTAGTCCCCGTGTTTCTACTAGCCCAGGAATTCTGCCATTGTCCCCAGAATTCCCTCCAGGGCCTCCCAAGTCAGATTCTACATAGAGCAGACACCCAGTCTGTGGAGCCCTCACACACAGTGGCTCCTGGTGTCCATGGCTCCCAGCATGCGTTGGTGATCAAGACAGCAGAGCGAAGCTGTCACAATGGAGATAGCCTCAACCACTGCTTTCATCCTCACCTTTGCTGCTGATGTTGACGATCAGCTGTCGATGCTCAACCAGAGCGATTCCATCAGACCTCTCAGGACTGGGTCCCACAATCCATCAGTCTGCAGAACTGTCCCAGGCAGAGGCCTCTGGTAAAGCTCCCTGCTGACTAGACTGGAGAACTGGTTCTGAGAGCTATGGATCCAAACCACACCCCAGAGCTGATGCTGATGATGGAGAAGAGAGGAAGAACCCATCCATCGGGCGTCTTTCCCCACCCATCCGGCATCTGTTGTGCTATGGATGTTGAGTGTCTCCTAAAGACTCAGACACTGAAGGCTTTGCCCCCAGCTGATGAATCCAGTCATTGAGATATGAGCAGGTTGTAATGGCTCTGACCTCTCATTGTCATTACTGATGGATTCATAATTCAGTGGTGTCTGGGCCAGCTGATGCGTACTCACAGGGCTGGGACCTGGTTAGAAATAGATCACTAGAGACATGTCCTTGGAGGTTGTCTCTTGTCTCAGGCCCTTCCTCTGAGTCTCTCTACATCCTTCATGTCACATGAACAGCTTTGCTCTGCCCTGTGCTCCCTGTTGGGATACTCTCCCTATGACCAGACACACTGGAAAAAGGTGACCACAGACTAAATGCTTGGAAACTGTGAGCCAAAGCAAATCTTTCCTCCCTTCCTTCTTTTCTTCCTTCCTCCCTCCTTTCCCCCTCCCTCCCTCCTTCCCTCCTTCATCATTCCTTTCTTTCTTCCTCTATCCTTCCTTCCCTCCCTTCCTCTTTTCTTTCCCTCTTTCCCTCCCTCCCTCCCTCTCTTCCTTCCTTCCTCCCTCCCTCCCTTCCTTCCTTCCTTCCTTCCTTCCTTCCTTCCTTCCTTCCTTCCTTCTTTCCTCCTTCCTAATGTATTCATATTAAGTATTTTGGGACAGCAGTGAGAAACTAACACAATGTACAGCTGGGAATGGGAACACAGCTGGCTGTGTGTGCATGTGTGTGTGTGTGTGTGTGTGTGTGTGTGTGTGCTCGTGCACACACACATAAAGGACAGCTGAATTTAAAAGGGCCACGCAGGAAGGAGAGAAGCCAGAGAGGTTGTAGTTTCAGCCAGCACCGTGGTCTTCGGAGCCCAGGAATGTTCAGGATAGACTTTCTGATCATATAGCAAAGCATTGCCCTGCAGAGAAAGACCTGGCAAGATCTTGGGGTGCAGCTACAAACCTTGTGCCAGGGCCAGGGTGGGGCAGTGACAACGAGGCTTGCCAGGGATGGAAGAATGGGGTTTCTGTACTGCTTATCAGAGCTCAGCTCCAGGGCAGGATGTGGAGGAGGCTTCCCCAACCTGCCTGGTGGACAGCAGGACTTTGGACAGGATGCATCACTTTAGACTTGACACTGGGTTGGTGACTCCATGCACATGCCTAGGATAGGTCACGTTCCTTGCCTGTGTGTATGGAAGGGTGGATACTAACAATGAACCATTAGCCAACCACCGAGCCCTGCCTCCATGTCAGAGAAGAGACATGGGACATAGCTTGACCCCCCAGGTTGATCTCTTCAGGAAAAAACAATCCTTAGCACTGGGCTCTGTAACAAGTCAAGGAAACTTGTCTTATTCGACCATCATTTGGGGTGAGGCAAGGGATGATGTCTGGCTATCGAGCAGACAGCAGGGAATACAGAAACATTGGCAAGAACTTATTCTTGAGATGTGCTTCTTCCACAGAAATGTATGCCTGGTGTTTCTCCCTCCTGGAATAGGAGTTCAGGGTCCTTTTGGACATAAAACTGATAGAAGAAGCTTCTAGAACAAACTGTAGTTCTTTCTGTGGCTGATTAGAACAGAAGTATAGGATCTTCCATTCTAATCAGGAACCAACAAGACTTTTATATTAGTTTCTTCTCTATTGCTGCAATAACCATGACCAAGGTGACTTGTCAAAGAAAGCATTTAATTGGACTTTACGGTTTCATAGGGTTAGAGTCCATGGTGGCGGAGTAAAGGCGGAGTAGGAACAGCTTGGAGCTCAGATCTCAAACTGAAAGCAGGAGGCAGAGTGCATACTGGGACTGGCACTAGTCCTTTGAAGCCTCGAAGCCTGCCCCCCAGTGACACACCTTCTTCAACAAGGTCACACCTCATAGTCTATCCCAGATAGTTCCACCAGCTGGGGACCAAGGATTCAAAGATATGATTTAACTAAACGGAGTGCATGCCAGCTAAATGTTTATAAGTTCAATTCTGGTAGGGTCAGTCTTTGTCTAAGAGACTCTTTGAAATGGTTCCAGGGTAAAGGGTCCTTGAGCCTCATATAAGATGCATGGACATATGTGGTGCCAGAGGATGAAGGCAAATATGGTGTGAGATGAAGCCCTCAAAGTAGAGATTCGATATTTAATACTGAGTGTTGTCTGTGGTGCTCTTTGCTGGAATCTAGTCCAGAGGGCCATGGCCAGAGCTGGCCTGGTGGGCCCTCAAGGCAGAAAAGCGTGTTCTTTTCCTGGGAGCCCAGAGGCAAGGATGGAGTGACCAGTAAAGACAGGGTAGGCCCAGCCGCTGCTCTGCACCCCATCTCCCTTATATCTGTCCAGAGCTGAGGGACAAATTCCTACTGCGAGCAAAGTGGACAGACAGGAGTCAATTGACCAAAAAGCTAAGCATGAGGTGACTGGTCCTCTTTTCTCTCTAGTCCACCCACAACTCCTTCAGGCCCCAGGCCAGCATTGCTAGTTGATGCCCTTGAAGCTCTGTCATCAGAAGGGCTCTCCTTGGAGGGACTACCTCTGTCCAACCAAGGTAGAGTCTTGTCCAGGGAGGTAGTCTCAAATTACCATTGTGTTGCCCTCAGGCTGGCCCCGTTCCCTCCTGTGTGGCATGTCTCCTTTAAGTTGGCATGAGGGTTCATGTGTACACAATATGAATTACAATCATGCAAGCGCCCCATCTCCCTTGATCAGTTATATATTGCCTGTGTGCCTACCTATTCCTATTCTCTCTTCGTTGTGATCTAGTCTCTGGCTTCTGCACAAAGCAATCGCTCAAAGACAGGTCCCTACCGTTTGACTCGGGTGCACAACACAAGCCCCTAGTGTCCTGCAGAGGCACAAAGCCAGAGGCTGTCACAGTGAACACCATCCAAGCCCAGAGAAACGCAGCAAGAGTCCATGGGGAACCTGAGCCTGGAGCCACATCCGTGTCACCTTCAGGTTCTGTGTCTTTACTTCCTTGTACCGGTTTTCATGTGCCTTCTGGATAAAATGAGCTACGCCCGTCTCTGAACTATAGGAAACAGGAACTCAAGGGCACAGATGATCTCTCTGTGTTAAGAGCCTTTGAGGCATTGTTATGTTGTCATGTAACATGAGCATCCCTCAAGGTGGAGGTGGGTATCTCCATGTTGTACATAGACATATTGACATAGATTTCTATAAAATATGGTGGCAGAACTTGCGGCATCCTGACTCAGAGCCAGCATGTTCTCTGCTGCACTATAGCATACTAAAGACAGAGTGTGACCAGGGACTCAGGACAAGAGGGTAACAAGGAAGAAGATGTTACTCCTTCCTATGATGCTACTGCCTATCTGTGGGCTCTCTTTCTTCCTTTACCCACCACAGAGCCATGCCTGGCTCCTTGACACCAAGAAGAACTTCAAGACTTAACAGGCCCCCACTTTTTGATGGGTACATGTTTTCAGACAACACTTTTTACATGTTATTTTTCTAATTTTCTCTCTATTACTATGATTCAAACATTCTGACCAAGAACAACTTAGGAGAGAAAATGGCTTATTTAAGCTTACAGATTACACTCCATCACTGAGGGAAGTCAGGGTAGAAAATCAATCAAAAACTTGAAGCAGAGACCATGGAGGAACTCTGTTTGCTGGCTTGCTCACAGGCTCGTCCTTAGCTAGCTTTCGTATATAGCTCAGGGCCGTCTTCCCAGGGAATGGTGCCACCCACAGTGGTCTGGGACCTCCTAATCAATTGATTATCAAGATATTCACCAGAGACATTGCCTACAGGCTAGTTGATCAAAGCAATTCCTCTCTAAGATGACTCTAAACTGTGCTAACTAGGTCTTATACGTTCTTGTTTTTTTGCAGGAATCTGGCCATTGGAATTGGGATCCAAAATTTCCCAGAGGGCCTGGCTGTCAGCCTTCCTCTGCGTGGAGCAGGCTACTCTACCTGGAAAGCTTTCTGGTGAGCCCATTGGGTCAGAAGAAAGTTGCATGGGCTATAAACTGTTCAGTGTGAACTCCCTTTGGCAGGTTCAAGCTCATGTTGAAAGCTATGTTGGAAGCCAGTTGCTGGGCTCTGGAAATACACCACAAATGTGGGAAAATATTGTACCCACAGAGAAGACCCCAAGAAACAAGATCATCTCTTGACCTTTGACCTTTACATGACCAGCTTGAGTGGCTATGTCCTTTATTCACTTTTTTTTTTTTTGGTCTTTGGAGACAGGGTTTCTCTGTTTAGCACTGGCTGTCCTGGAACTCACTCTGTAGACCAGGCTGGCCTCGAACTCAGAAATCCACCTGCCTCTACCTCCCAAGTGCTGGGATTAAAGGCATGCACCACCACTGCCTGGCTATGTCCCTTTTCAAAGGCGTCTGTGGATAGCAACCCATAGCTTTCAGCACTGGGCACTTCCCCCCTAATATGTGTCCTGTGAATGTCACAGTGTCCTCAGCTGAGGATCATCTTGTTACCACCTGGGCCCAGGGAGTCATTACATGAGCTGCACTCATATGTCCCCAATTGGGACAAGGGTCTCACACGTTACTTTACTAAAACAATGGCCGGTCTACGGTGTAAGATCACAGCACTCACGTAGACTGCTAATAGGGACAATTTAAAAATGCCTTCCATCGTACAAGGCCCCGCGGCTTGCAAGTTTGTACATGTACCTAAATGATCGTGTTTCCACTCTCTACAGATCCCTTTCTCTATTGTTAGAGTCCCGCAAATAGAGGCTTTGGGAAAGAAGGGAGGTGGGTGGCCTTAGAGATTTTCATAATCTACCAAAGCCACAGATGTCATTTCAGAGAGTTGAGGCACCAGGAAGAAAGGAGGGGGGTGATGCAGAGATTTGTGGTCAGCACTAAGATCCGAAAGTGAAGCTTTCTTTTTTTCTCCCTCTCAAACTCCCGTCTGGGGCTTGACGTCAAAGCTACATTTTTCAGAGACAAGGCCACAGGTCTATAGACCAGAGGGCTGTCTGTCCTGCTGGTTGTCCATGAAAACATGAAGCAGGATGCACTATCTACTGTAAAAGATTCCAGCAAATCTTGCTTTTTAGTAAAAGCAACAGAAGGGTCTCTACCCATGCCCACTTCCGCTTTTAGCCAGAGAGGGACTGGGATCTCACAGTTCATACAACTTGCCCTTCTTTTTGGGGGAGGACTGAATCTCAGGGGCTATGCACCTTACCAAGCACCCACTTCAAGAAGGGGGACCCAGCTCTTGACCTGTTGGTGTTGCACCTGTAGCAGGTGGCTTCTGCCGACAGGGCCCTGGCTTATCTCTTTCCCTTGCCGTTCTCAATGCTCATTCTTCTGTGTTGCTGCTTTGATCAGAGATCATTTAATCTAGAGCAGTGCATACCTCTCCTTGCTAGCTCAAATAAAGGAATTTCTTAAAAGGAGGAAACTCATCTGAAGCCAAGATGGCGGTTCTAGGGGTGGAGAGTAGAGACCATACTCTCAACAAAAGAAATGGCCAGGTAGGCCCGCCTCTGCCACATAAGAGTACAGTTACAGCCTGAACCCCCAAACATGCCTACAACAACTGGACACACCAAGGCCATTCCTAATCAGTGTCCTATCAATCAACATAGGCAGCAAATATGTGCAGACCAATAACGTGTTCTACAGCCATACAGTGACTGGTTCTCATCCTTAGGAAGATGCATGCTAGTACATAGGCTGGGACGATAACTCAGTGCAGAGGAGACTTGCTATACAAGCATGAAGATCAGAGTTTGAACCCCTAGTACTCATATAAAAAGCCAGTTGTGACCATGTGTGCCTGTAACCCCAGTGTTGCTCAGGCACAAGAAGGTCACTGGGGAGTGCTGGCTCCCTGCCTAGCTTCAGTGAGAAAGCGTGTCTCAGGGGAGTGAAACAGTAATAGAACAGGCACACACATCCTCTCTGGCACACACACACACACACACACACATACACACATACACGCATCACATATAACACACACACACCACATATAACACACACATACATTCACACATACACCACACACATACACATCACATATAACACATCTACACACATACCACACACATACATACACAAGCAAACACAGACATACACACACACCCCACATATAACACACATGCACACATACCACACACTTTCATTCACATATACAACACACAGACACACACACACACCAAACTGTTTTTAAAAAAAGAAAGATACGTGCTACAGCGAGGATACACCTAGAAAACATTGTGCTAGTTGAAATAAGCCTCCTCCCCACCCCAAAAAAAACCATATATGATTCCGTGTATAGGAAATATCCAGAGGTGGTAAACATATATAGAGAAAAACAATAGAGAGATTCATGGTGATGGGCTGGGAGGAGCAAGAAACAGGACAGGGCTGCTAATGGCCACAGGCTTCTTTCAAGGATAAAAATGTTGGAATTGATGGTGATGTCCACTTAACCTTGTAAACACACTAAAAAAACCAATGGCTACACAGTGAATGGTACACGGGATACAAGTTACGTCCCAATCAGATTGTCATCATCAAAGACAACATTGGCAACTTAAAGATCCAAAGGAAATAAGGGTACAAAGCTACTGTCACTACTCCATGGAAAGCTGGGCCAGGAGCAGCTTCTTAGAACATGGCCAGACAAGACGCCCACCATAAAAGTCTGTTTTCTGGGTGGGATCAACAGTCTGGGCAAGTGGCATGTCTGCATGGGTCAATGTCTCCGTTCCCTTCATTGGTCCTTGTCTCTGCACCCTCCTTAGGTATGGACAGCTGAGTGGCATGGTGGAGCCCTTGGCTGGGGTCTTTGGAGCGTTTGCGGTGGTGCTGGCTGAGCCCATCCTGCCCTATGCGCTGGCCTTTGCTGCTGGCGCCATGGTCTACGTTGTGATGGATGACATCATCCCCGAAGCGCAGACCAGGTAGGTGGCTAGTCGAGACTCTTCAGCCCTGTCCCGAGCCTCGTCTGAGACTACCCCCTCTCTAACACTTGTCCTCTCTTCCTTTCTCTTTCTTTTTATGCCCAAGACCCCTCTGGCCCTGCCCACAATTGTTCCTGTCACTCCTCTGGCTGCTAAAGCTGAAATAAAGAGGAGGCAGGTGACATCACACAGTGGCATAAAGCAGGGATGGTGGGCAGGGGAGGGGCCTGGCACAGTGTCATTCAGGTTTGTTTAACAGCAATTCTGCACCTCATTTATCCTGACACCTCATAAGGAATAATAACCAGGGCTGGAGAGATGGCTCAGTCAGCATTGTGCCTGCCACACCAGAACTCACATGAAGAGCCAGACACGGTGGCATGTGCTTATAATTCCAGCACCGGGGAGGGAGAGACGGGTGGATTCCTGGTACCCCATGGCTAGCCAGATTAGCCTAATCCGAGAGTCCCAGGCCAGCCAGAGACTGTGTCACAAAACAGGAGATATGGCTAGAGGAGAAATGGCTCCTATAACCTCTCTCAACATACGTGAAGAAAACATAAGAAACAGACACTACTTTTTAGTGTGTGTGTGTGTGTGTGTGTGTGTGTGTTCATGAAGGTTAGGAGTTAAATCCCTGGAACTGTAATCATAGGCTGTTGTGAGCCTACTGATGTGGGCGCAAGGGACCGAATTCTGGTCCTCTGCAGAGCAGCAAGTGCTTCTAACTACTGAGCCATCTCCCCAGGACCCCTGCAGACTACGCTTTGTTTGTTCAAGCCTAGAACTGGAGAGCTCTGGTCAAATGATTCCCCTGTGCTACAGCCCCAACCAGGGGCTAAGGAGGGCATAGCTTGGGATCAGGAGGGAGTGGTCACTTGATGTATGGTACCCAACCATCAGTGCTGCTACCTTTGGTAAAATACTCTCTGTTGTAGTTAGGGTCATCAGCCTAAGGTCATAAGAAGCACCAGTTAAATCTTACCATCTTCCTCTCTTTCCTTCCTAGTGGCAATGGGAAGCTGGCATCCTGGGCCTCCATCCTGGGATTTGTGGTGATGATGTCCCTTGATGTGGGCCTCGGTTAGCTCTGACAACCTTGGGACGCCATGAAGGAAAGCACCAGGCCTCTACAGGACCATGAGCCTCTCTTCACATTAAAACTCCTGTTCCTTTATCCCCTCTGTCTCCTTACCCCAGATCAGCTCTGATTACATTTTGACTTTTCGTTTTGCTTTAGAGGGAAAAGCTGGTTTTCTTTGTAATCTCAAGGTGTCATAGAACTGTAGATTTGTGTTTTGGCCACTGAGTGGAAAGCGTCTTTCTTCAGTGGGATTGTCGAGGCTAACCCCTACTGTCCCACCTCTAGTCTTCCTTTCTAGACTCAACTTTAACACCTCAGGGTCACCTCCAGAAGCCGGCTCCTAGGTTATAAGTCCTGAGCATGCTGGCCTAAGGTTTTGGAGCAGGTTGCCAGGGCCCCTTGTACTCCTTTTCCATGGACCCTCTGTCCACCTAGAATGCCGGGACAGAAGCAACATGAACCCAGAAGCCTGCTTTCCAAGGCTGAGCCAGCTCAAACAGGGTCTGCTTCCTCCAGGGAGGCATGCACGGGAGGGCCCCCACACCAAGGGAAGGAAGGCAGCTTGTCTCTCTCCTTTGTCCTAAGACAAAGATCGGCATTGCCAAAGTTAGAGAAATAAGGAAATGAGGGTGAGCACACAGCTCTGTAAAGAGCCCTGTGAGTAGGTTTTAAGCTACTCCCTCCCTTGTAGATGACAAGAGCAGGCACTTCCTTGTGGCTCCCAGATCTCCTAGCTATTAATCTTGATGTGTTTACAGCTTCTGTTTTTCTGAGAGACGTGTGGATACCAGCAAATGGCAAATGCTCAACCCCCTCATTGACTACCAGAGTTACTTAAGTCAACTCTAGGAATGACATTCAGAGCCTGACAAGGCTCCTTCTCTGCTGGCCATTTGGAAACTTACAACCCAGAGCCCCTCAGCTTCAGCAGGCTTTGTGGGATTCTGGCCAGCAGGCTTCTAATGGGAAAGGAAAGGGGCGGGGGGAGGTAAGAAGAGGTATTTTTACATTTCCTTTCTTAGAACTTAAAATTCTGAGATGATCCTGAAGAATGACTGGACCTAGACTACATGCTAACCTACTCCATCATACATAGCTCCACCGTCTGCTCTCCCAACGCATCTGAGCCCTAAGCCCTCCATGGTGGAGGAGTGTGTGGGACTCAGAGAACAGGCTCTACCCGGGAGCCAGGCATTTGGGTACTGACTGGGTCATCAGTATCTTCCCTCTGTGTTTACATGTTCCATCCCTCCGAGGATGGATATTGTAGTCTGTGAATGTTCAAGATCCCAGCGGCCAACCTTGGCGGGGTGTGTCCGTTCTTCTGAAGCACTGGTAATCAAAATTGATTCAGAGATTCGTTTGATTGGTTGAGGTTAGCTGGTTTGGTGATTGGCACATGTTATGTATTTTTATTCTTATGTCTCCATGTGTAGTTCTGTTGCTGCAAATCATCCTTTCTGCTGGATAAGACCTCGTAACTGTGATTAATGTCAATAAAGGGAATTTCGTTGTGCATGAGCTGTGTTCCGTTCCATCCTCAACACCAATGCTCTCTAGAGCTGCTGAGGCCCCTCTCCCACACAACGCCGGCAGGAGTGAAGAGGTCCTCACAGCAGGATGAGTGGTCAGCTTCCAGGCTGCAGAAGACCACATCCAACTCCAGCTTATTTGAACAAAGGAGATTGACGGAGGGATGTTAAGAAACGTGGAGGCTCTAGTGGAGAATCGGGCTTGGAAATGGGGTGAATCTAAGACAGTTGGAGATCTAAGACAGTTACCCAATGGCATTTGGAAAACAGCTCCGTTAGATACCATGGCCCCTGGTGCCGGTGATGAAATACTATACGTCTCTTCTGAACCTCCTGCTCCCCCATATCTCCAACAGCATCAGGAGAGTTAGGTTGTATTACCCCCATCCTTCCGGTTCTGATTCCTTCTTCAAGGTTAGGGTTAGGAGAGATAGTCACCCAATAGAGGTTTGCATATACATACAGATCCACTGTATCATATACAGCTGTACTTACACCCAAACTTACACACACACACACACACACACACACACACACACACACACGGGCAGTGCTGGACAAACATCCATCTAGAACTTGAATCCTGTGCTCATGAACTGGCTGGACTTACCCCGACCAGGAGTTCCATTACAGTAGGTTTTCTAGATTTGGGAATGGGTTCAGATATTAGAGAGACAAGGTTGACTCAAGGTATCACCTACTATTTTACTGTAACTCTATTTCCTCATTTTGCAACGGTCATTGGCTCAGAAGTTGTTGCCATTCCTCATACCATCAAATGTCACTCACCCCCTTTACAAAAGGAACTAATCTAGTGCTGTGACAGCCCCTATTATAGAAGTGTCTATTTTAGAATCCATTTTGATATATACACTTTCTCCCAAGCTATATAAATAAAAAATTTAAATCCTAAAATTATCTTGGTTCATAATTCTCATTCTTACTGTTTTGTGTTTGCCACAGTGTGCTGCTCTTGTTTGAGGGTGTGCTCAGGGGTTTCTCGAAACCTTGATCCCCAATGTAACAGTGTCTCAAGGTTGAGAGATACTGCTGTTTAATTGGAGGTCAGAGGTCAGAGGGAACTGTTCTGCAATCTGGGTTAATTCTGGAGTATGGTTCTTCCTGTCCTACGGTGTGACCTCTCTCCTTCCCACATGGTATCGTTGGCCTTTAAAACTTGTGCCATAGTTTCTGTCAACTTGACCCAAAAATGACATATTTGAGAAAAGGAAATCTCAATTGAGAGAATTATCCACCAGACTGGTGGATGTGTTTGGGGGGGGGGTGGATATTTATTAATTAACAATTGATGTAGAAAGACTCGGCCCACTGAGTGTGGTGTCACCTCCAGCCAAGATGTTCTGGGTTGTGTAAGAAAGCAAGTTGAACAAGTCATGAAGAATGAGCCAGCAAGCAGCACTCTTCCATGGCCTCTGCTTCAGTTCCTGCCTTCAGGTTCCTACTTGAGTCTCTGCCTTGACTTCCTGCAATGATGGAAGGGTAAGCCCAAGAAATCTCTTCCCCCTCGAGTTCCTTTTTGTCTGTGGTGTTTATCACAGCAGCAGAGAAGCAAACTAATACAGACTGTCACCAGAGTCTGATTGGCTGGAGCTGCCTAGTTGTGGACTTGCGGCCTCTAAAACTCTATGCTGAGTAAATTCTTTTCTTCATAGAGTCCTTAGCCTTGAGTACTTTATTATAGCAACAGTAAACCAACTAAAACACTCTCTTCTGAAGCAGACCAGGCTTGAAGATTACTAAGGATATGCACACAGAGAACTTTTATTTTCTGGTAAGATATTGTCAGTAAAGGAGGCAAGGGAATGATAGTGTCCTTTTTTCCCCCATTAATTAATTAATTTATTCACTTTACATCCTGATCGAAGTTCCCCTCCCTCCACCCCTCCCAGTCACACCCTTTCAAATCTCTCCCCCCAGCCCTCCTGTGTACCACCTTGCCCAGGGACATCAAGTCACATCCAGACTAAGCACATCCTCTCCCACTGAGCGCCAACCAGGGGAAGGGGATCCAGTGGCAGGCAACCGAGTCAGAAACAGCCTCCACTCCAATTGTTAGGGAACCCACATGAAGACCAAGCTGCATATCTTCTACAAATATGTAGGGGACCTAGGTCCATCCTGCATGCTCCTTAGTTGGTGGTTTAGTCTCTGTGAGCTCCTGTGGGCCCAGGTTAGTAGACTCTATAGGTCTTCTTGTGGTGTCCTTGACCCCTCTGGCTCACTCAATTCTGTCCCCTACTCTTCCATGAGACTCCCTGAGCTCTGCCTGAAGTTTGGCTGTGGGTCTCTGCATCTGTTTCCATCAGCTGCTGAATGAAGCCTCTTGGGGAGACAGTTATGCTAGATTCCCATCTGCAACCATAGCAGGATATCATTAATAGTTTCAGGGGTTGGATCTCTTCCCATGGGATGGGTCTTTTTGTTGTTGTTGTTGTTGTTGTTGTTTTTCGAGACAGGGTTTCTCTGTGTAGCCCTGGCTGTCCTGGCACTCACTCTGTAGACCAGGCTGGCCTCGAACTCAGAAATCTGCCTGCCTCTGCCTCCCAAGTGCTGGGATTAAAGGCGTGCGCCACCACCGCCCATTTCCCATGGGATGGGTCTTAAGTTGGGCCAGTCATTGGTTGGCCAATCCTTCAATCTTTGTTCCATCTTTATCCCTTCACATCTTGTAGATAGGCAGGACAAATTTCAGGTTGAAGGTTTGTGGCTGAGTTGATGTTCCCCTCCCTCCACTGGAAGTCCCACCTGGCTACAGGAGGTGGCCACTTCAGCCTCCATAACCCCTGCTGGTAGGAGTCTCATCTAAGGTCACCCTCATAGACTCCCTGGAGCCTCCCCCTCATCCCAGGTCTCCAGCTAGTCCCAGAGATGCCCCCATTGATTTCTGTTCCCACTCCCAACCCTCTTCCACCCCCTCTCTCCCCACACCTGATCCCCACACCCCATCACTCCCTACCTCACAGAGCTCCCTCCACCTCCGATGACTATTTTGTTTCCCCTTCTGAGTGAGATTCACACACCCTCCCTTGGGTTATCCTTATTACGTAGTTTCTTTAGGTCTGTATGTGACGAGTTCCAGTCACACAGACTCTCTCAGCGTGAACTTCCCTAACAGGCCTTCATGGACACTACCCTCCCAAACAGAGCCAAAATAAATCCTCCCTCCTCATTGCTTCTTGTCAGGGGTTTGGTTACAGAAGAGGAGAAGGGTAAGCACTACAGGCCGCAGCCTGCAGACCTCGCTCAACTCCTGGTGCATGTTGGAGGGGTATGAAAGCCAGAAGACAATGGGCCTGGAGGAGAGTGGCTTTTTTTCTTTCCTTTTACATGGAGGCATGTCATCCATGCAGCAGAGACACAAAAGTTTAGAGTATATTACACGCTTATATAGATTTCACCTATGCATCTGTGAGGCATACCCCATCTTGGGGTGGGGGCAGGCATCCCAAGTTACAAGCATTCAGGCTTCTGAGATCTGGGAGCTCTTCCCTCTGGCTAAGGTCCTGGGTGAGCCCAGTCAGGATGCAGGTATGCTCAGATTCCAGATCGCCCATCTTGGGCCAGGTGATGTGTGCTGCCTACAACTGCACAAAGTTCCTGTATCCCTGTTCTAAATGTCCTTGGCCATGATGGGGGACAAAGGCTGTGATGGGGACAAGCCCATATGCAGGGAGAGCCAGATACATGCTCTTGAACCCTTCTCCGACCTGTCTACCTGCTTCAGCACACAGTGTGCCAACCCCAGCTGTTGCCTGCTTGGCTACAATGAGACAGGTCAGATGCCCTGAAGTGACCTCTGGCTTCCCATGATCACTCCAGGATCACTGGAGGGTCACTGTGCTGTCACCTCCTACTTCCTGCTTTCTTTTTCCAAGGCTGAGTCTGGGGAGGCCGACGTAGAGAGTATACACGGTAGAGAGGGCTCTTTGAGAAAAACATACAGAAGTGCTAACAAAATCAAACTGAAGGTTTTAGAAAGGGCCCCTGACTGCACACTGTGAGGGTCAAATATCATTAGCTTTGGGGTGACCTGTCCTCTAGCACAGGACATGGTGGCCCGAGATATATAGGAACTTTTAACAAACTAGCTTTTCTGATGTCTCCCTATACAGTGCAGGCCAGCAGCTAATGAGAAGACTATGTTCATGGGTAGAAAGAACACTGCTCAACACACTCCCTCTCTACCCTTCCCCTACAGGAGGAAGAATTAAACCTTCCTCCCTCTCTTTTTTCCTGCTCACCTGTGCTGTCAGAGTGGCTACGGGAAGCAGCAGCCTTGAACCATCTCTGGATTCTGTCCAGCTCCTGACCTTCATGTTCGTTCTTGGTGACAGTACTTGAGTTCTTTTGGTGGCTTGAAGGTAAAATAGATCCTTCGTGGCCTCAGTTGGACTTTGGAGCTACCACAGAAACCTCTAGACTCCTAAATAACCTCAGGGAGCTAGGTTGCTGTTTCCTGCTCCAGGATAGGGTGATGTGGCGGGTGAGCCAAAGAAACAACTGACTGCTGCCAGGCGCTAAGGAATGTGGGAACTCTGCACCGGTAAACCTCTGGACATGTATTCTAGCAGCTTTGCATTCCATGGTCCCTCTGAAAATCCAAACATGAGACTGGAAATCCAGTCACAGCCTAGACTCACCTGAGAAAGGAGTCTCAGTGGAGGGATTTCGTAGATTAGATTGGCCTGTGGGCATGTCTGTGGAAATTGTCTTGATTCTTAGTTGATATAGAAGGACTCATCATTCCTCACGCTGATGGTCTTGAGCTATGTAAGAAAGCTAGGTGAGTATAAGCCGATGTGTTAGCCAACTAGCCAGCAGTAGCCTCTGTGACTGCTGCTCTACTTCTTGGCTATGAAACGAATGCTTTCGTCAGAGGTTATGCTGTGTGGAATAGCAAGTTGAGTTGCCCTGAGCCCCTGCCTTGACTTCCCTCAATGAACCAGGACCTGGAAGTGCAAGCCACAT